TTCTGGGTTGCTGGCACCCAGGTGGTCCTGTTACATGAGATCGGTCCAACCCAGTTGAAGGAACTGGCACTTCCCTTTGTTGAACCTCAACAGGTTTCTGTGAAACTATTTTCATAGCCTGTTAACATCCCTTGAACACTGGGCCCTACCCTCCAGCATACTGACTGCTTCCCTGGGTGGTGCTGTCCGCAAACTTGCTGAAGGTGACCCGCTGTTCAGGTTGTTAACGTCAAGCAGTTAACCGCTAGCAACGGGCTGTCAGCTGGACTGATGACAACCCTTTGAGGCTAGTGGTCCAGCCAATTTTCCACCCATCTTCCACCTCTCACCCACCCACCTGAGAACTGCGTTTTATAGATAGAATTTAGTTAGACAACTTGTATACAGGTAGTCAGAGGTAAATGGAATAGACAAATTAGGAGTAATCTGATCTACTACACAAAAGCCTGTGGGTTTGGGCTTTTTAGTCTAGCCTAATTAGCTCTGTCCAACCAACATCACTTAACCAAACAGTAAACTACAAGTCTCAGCAAAAATTAAAGTCAAATCAGTGTTTAGCTCTTTAAGTAGTTCTGTCATGCCTAAATATTTCTCAGCTCTGTGAACAGCAACATTATCTACCATACATGCTGAAACATGCAGCAACACAAGATTGTAATTCCCACTTCAGCACAAAATTTACAGTTGTCCAAGGGATTAAGATCATTTAAAACGCTGCATTGATTTAAGACTTATACACATATACACAATATAGTAAAACCACATGTTTTAAGGTGTATTTTAGGTAGGCTAACAAAAAAAATGGGTTCTTATCACCCTGCTATAATGCATTGTGCTTCAGTTCCATGCAGTGAAAAAATCTTGTCTAACAGAGAGTTAATTATCAGCGAAGGAACTCTTTGAAATATCATGGCGATATATGTAGATTGTGTGTCCCTGGTAACTTGATAGTGTGCCAATCCATGATGAGACTAGTGGGTATGCATATAAAGGCTAGAAGCTTCTTGCTTAGACTTTTGGCTTTATGATCGAATACGAGATATTTAGAAATGATTTTGTGTGACAGTGGAATGAGGCAGCTGGATTTTAAGAAACTAATACCGAACTAATAAAAACCTGGTGAGCATGGGAGAATATATTCAATTTCTAATATGAGAAAAGGCTGGCACACTGCCAACATACTACATTCATAGCAAAGTAGATGTATTTCTCCAAAAAAGAAAATATATGGACTTGGAAGTGGCCAATACAGCCTCAAGGGGACTGTTCAAAGACCCAAGTTTGAAAATATTACCAGGGCTAGAAATGGAAAACAAGAAAAGGAACAAAGTAGGAATATACTGAGGCTGGTAGGCTGCACAGACATAAAACAGGGGTAGCAAGAAATCCTGAGTAAGTGCATATCTAAACAAAAAAATGTTTAAAAATACATCTTGAAAAAGGCATGCAAGTCGATTGAGGGAAAAGAAACACCAAAGAGCAAGCAGGTCTATAATATATGAAGAAGATTAAATCAATAATGATCCTTAAATGGCCAAGCTACTAATAATTTTAAAATATACTTTGAGAAAAAATAAAGAAAAGGAATATTGGCAAGTATGACATAATGAAGACCATGTTGATGTATAATACCTGCCTATATAAAGCTGATGAAAAGAAATTATCGGGGGAAAAAAAAATACAAATTCTTTAGTCTGAAGGATACATATTTCAGGGCTAAAGGGAATTAGTTAATGAATTTATGAAGTGACTGGTAATTATTTATGAAAAGTCATAGAGAACTGGGGTGATACAAATGACAGCAAATTAATTAGATTTGCAGGTGTTGGAAGACAGTATGAGACTGGAGACCTTGCAGATGATCTAGAGAAGCAAGAAACATGGAAAAAGAATAGACACATCCACCCTTGGAAAAAAACAAAAAGCTTGTATATGGTGTGATAATCTAAATCCTGACACCAACGGAGAGAACCTGGAGTAGCAAAGAATAGCAAAAAACAAACTAGATGTAAGCTTGCACGGCAAGCTACCCTCAAAGCAATTATAGATGTCTTCTAAATGGTAATGTTAAGAACACTATTTTCAATTTGCTTAACTTGGTATAAGAATGATTTAAAGTAGATTAAAGACTCAATTGAGAAAATTCAAATAGCTGTATATTTTTCTCCTTGAGAAATAGACAACTAAAACATGAAGAAAGTGGGGAAATACAGCAGCCTACATTTTGAAAGTGTAAACACTAAGTATGAAGAAATACAGTTGAGGCTGGTTCAAGCAGTAATGGGATGAAAGTAAGCAACAGGAAATCTAGGTTGATAATCATGAAAGAAATCTTTATGAAATGTATAATACTAATATTCATAATACTTAACATTTATATAGTACTTCACAACTTCAAAGTGCTTCACTAATATTAACTAATTGCTCTATTCAGTTGTAGGGAAGAGTCTTCCCCTCAAGGGATGAAGTTCCAGATCCTCAATCCCTAAGAAGCTACATTAGAAAACCTACTGAAAAACAAACACTATACAGAAAAATCAGCCCCTGCAAAAGTTCAGATTCTATGAGCTAAAATAATTTTCCTTCTCTGGCTTTTTCTTTTACATATGGAAAGGAAAGCTATGCATGCTATACAATACCATGGAGATGCTATGTCCCCCAAACAGATACAAAGGGAAGAATAGTTCATTCTTTGTTTCAGTGCAGATATATTTCAGGAAGTGTGTGAAGAGGAAGACTTTAAACAGAAATGTAGAGAAGTAAAGTGCCCAATATTGCAGAATGCAATGGATAGAATCTAGTTTAGTTTCCCAGCTCAGAAGCAAAATTTTCCAGGGCAGAAAGGAAGAGACGCACAAATTTCTGTACTCCAGTGCTTTTTAACTAGACAAGTTGTTAGATTTTAGTACAAATTGACATAGCTGCTGGTGACACCAATAAAAACAATTTACTGCTGAAAAGATCTGACTTGAGGATTGCTTCGTCTGCTTAAAGTTTTGCTGGTAAAACTAAGAAAGTTTGGCTACAAGACACAAACCCCTGCTAAAGCACAGGAATAAAAATTAAGGAGCAAACAGAATAGGAGACAAAAAGCAACAGTGAGAGAATAAAAGCTGATTGCCTAAGCTGATCCAGTAAGCTTCTACCCTGAAAAGAGAGTAGAAGTGCCCCTTTCACTCCATGAGGTGATGGGACCAGGTTAACAATGCTCTTCTCCCCATTACTAAATATATGCATGGAGAAAGGAAAACTGGGTTTATTAGGAAATCACCCTTTCTAAACTCACTGCACTCACAGTAAATGAGCAGTCCTGTGGGCAGCATTGTAATGGTTTCCTGATTAATCATTTTATCTTCTCAAAAAAAAAAAAAAAAAAGAACCAAAAAAAATCTAAGATGACAAAGGTAGTTGAACAAGACACCACCAAAATCTGGTACATTTGCCTATGTTCCTGCAGAGGGGCACTATCATGAGCTGCACCGTCCCCCAAAATGCACCCACCACTCCCAGTGGTACAGGGAGATTATAAAGGTGAGCCCAAAGGCCCACATCAGCACTGGCACTGCACTAAGATGTGCTTGGAGAGAGTCCCCATCCTGAAGAGTATACAATTTGAATAGAAAAGACAGATCAAGGCATGAGAAAAATAAACCTTTGTAGCAATAGGTTAACATCTGTTTAAGTTTTCGGTGGATGTATCTCTGTACACAGTATACAGCACTGCTGTTTTCTGACCAAAAGGCCACCTTAAGGTATGTGGCTAAATAACATCAAGTTTCATGCCTCAAGATGTCATCTTGTTGACTTCATGCCCCTTTCCCACACTGCTTGGCTTAGCTAGAGCTCAGGTAAATGCACTGCAGTAGAGGAATCAGAGGCACTGAATGCTGTCCGAGACAGACCCCCAGGCTTGCTGGCTCAGCACTCTGACACAGTAAGGCAAATACCATATTTTTATAAATCTCACCACAGAAAACAATGTTAGCATCCCTTGTTTTATTTTTGTGAGATGCTACATAATTGCTTCCTAACAAAAAAATAAATTCTGTAGCAGAAATCCCAGGTCAGCAACAGATGGGAAGACCCAGCGGAAGCAAGGACAGAGACAGCTAAGTCCAGAGCTAACCAGAACTAAGAAACTTGACATTGTGCCCTGGTGATCCCCAAAGATGGAAAAAACACTTTACAAGCATGTGCGTACGCTTGTTAAAGGAGTCCAAACATATAACAGAGGGAAGCCAATTAAAAAGATACTAAATACAGAAGACTTCAACTTCAGCGATTAGTGCTAGGTAATTTGCCTTGTGATATACAAGCCATTCAAATCAGTAATAGACCTGAGGTTGTTCCACAGCTTGAAAGCATTTCTCTGAACCTTATCTGGTATCACAGCAAGTGCCAATGCTTGTAAGTTAAATTTTGCCATGCAGCTCTACATCTTCAAATCTAGCAATCCCAGTAAGTGTTTGCGGAAGATACCTGCGGTCTTCAGACCTTATGCTGACCACTACTATCACTAAATCAGCACAGGTGCAGCTCAGTTGCTATGTGCAATAGCCAGATGCAGCTTGTAACTTCTCCCAAGTACTACAAAATGAAATGAATGAATGAAGAGGAGGACAGGTTGGATTCTTTTCCCTGAATCTATGGAAAATAAATTACTTTTTGGGGACTATCCCTATCCAAGGAACAAAACCCATCATCCAACTGTGAAAAATCTCAATTTCATCACTACCGTATTGAGAAGGAGGGGGGAGAAGGAAGAGGAAAAGAGAAGAAAAAAATAATGATAGCTGAAAAAAACATAAAAGAAAACCATCAGTGAAAATTGCCCCTGAAACTTTGCAGAATTGTAACAGCTTTCTCTTGCTTAAATTGATTGGTGTAGCAATGTTATAAAATGACTATTAGGATTCATTGTGCACAACAGAAAGTGTGAAATGTCAGCAGACTATACAGCAAAAGTAATGGGTCCTGAACCCCTGTTAGTCAAAAATGATTTTGTTTCAAATTAGAAATTGATTTTTTTGGACACAAGCCCTTTACAGGCTTCCAACTTTTGTAGCTGTGCCTTGGAAGAGATTAACCTCAGCCACTGTTTGGGTCCAGGCTGATGATACCCTTTTGAAAGTTTCTTCACAGGGACTGCTTTTTAATGTTGGTGCGGTCTTAACCAATAACACAAGTTATTTGTTCCTTTGAGAACTGCACCACATTTCTTCTCATTTTGCCATTTTCTTTATTTTTATGCCGACATATATACAGCAAACTGGCTGACAAGTTAAAATAAAAAAAAAAAAGCTAGCTCATAACTGAACCAAGGATTATGTTCAAGGCTTGGCAGTGAAACATCCAAGCTGCTTTTGTTCCCAACCTTTCTCTTCCTAAGAAAGACTGCTTCTCTGCTCCTTAAGTGGAGGTACTAAGCTAAAAGCAGGATAGATTCTAGCTGTACAGACATCCCTGTGTGGCAAAATACCAGGTTGTGATGGTGGAGCCATTACTTGGGGAGGAAAAGAATGTGAAGAAGATTACATTTCAAGAGCAAGCCCCACTGCACTTATTCTCTCTGGTTGCTGGGAAGGGAAAAAGAACTGTTGAAGTAGCTTTTTGAGATTAAAGGGCTATTTTTTCCATTCCATCAGGAACACCAGCCAAGAATATCACTTGTTATTTACAAGGCTTTCTATGCTTTTTATTACTTTAAACATAGCTACCTTCTCTTAGGTTGTTTTAAGCCACTTGCAATCCTCTCCCTCTAATTGTGCATTTTACTGATACGCTCTTGAACACATATATGCAATTTCTAAATGACATCAGCATGCTCATGGCCCTGCAATACAGTATGCTTCCCTTTACCTTTCCTTGACTTAGTGCCTCCCCTCTTGGTTTGCATCAGAAGGGTTTGCCCATCTTCCACGTTTGCACCAAAACCAACCATTTTCTTCCCCATACTGCTCCCACCACTGCTCGCTGGTGTTCTGGAGGTTTTGCTCACTGGATTTGTCCTCGGAAAACAATCTTCACGTTTCAACATTGGTACACTGGGAGGAAAGAAAGATCACACTATTACATGATGCATTGATCCCTTTTAACACTGCACCCAGTCCTCTCCCCCACTTTCACTCTCCAGAAGCATAACCATCATGCTGCTGTTTGAGCTCTTGTTGAATCCATTTACAACGTCTGAAAGCAGGAGGCCTAAGGATTGAGGAGTTACCAACGTACTTTATCAGGAGTCTTTGCCTAGCAGCAGCTGGCAGCACTCTGACAATTATATTTGGAGTTTTGTGGCATTTGGCACATTCCCCAGAGCATTAGGTCCTGGATTTCCTGAGTGGTTAGGACAGGACAAGTAGGATGAAGGTACAGAAAGTACTTTGTCCAGCACAGTGGAGCAAGTTTGGATGAAAGAGTAATTAAAAAAAATGCTCACTTTGCTCAGATAAAGGGGAAACAGAGAAGATTATGCAAAGAGAAAACCAGAGTAATGGGTTGCAAAAGGGAAGCAGATCACAGAATGATAGAATCATTTAGGTTGGAAACAACCTTTAAGATCATTGCGTCCAGCCATTAACCTAACACTGCCAAGTCTACCACTAAACCATGTCTGTGACCACCACATCTACACATCTTTTAAATACCTCCAGGGATGGTGATACATTGATTCAAGAAGAAAAGGGATGAGAGGAAATAAGACAAAAAGAGGTGAAGTGAATAAACAGAGGTACTTGTAAGCAGGATAGAGAATGTATGAGTAAACTGGTGGGAGAGTACCTGATGCAGCAAGTGCAGCAGTGTGAGTAGATTAAGAAAAGAGAAACCTAACCAGAACTATTATGGTTCAAGACGAACTTCAGCAAAAGATCGTAAACACTGCACTGATACTGCTAGGAGGCACATTTGGTGACATAGAGCAAGCATGACTTCAGTCTCTGAAGACACAGGCAATCACAAAACATGTTGGGAAGACAGGAGGCTATAGAGACCCATCTTTCTCTCAGCAAACACAGCCTACTGCCTTCAAATTCTGCTCTCTTGGGAACACCTACTGCTTTAAATGAGGATTCCCAACATGTATACGTCATTAGCCCTGCCACCGTTATAAAAAGCAATTAAAAACATAAAAAAATTGCTGGATTATCCACATGAAGGAATACAATTCATCCCAAGATTATACTGCTCTACTTGCAATCACAGGAGTGCTATACAGCTTTCCTAAGTTAACAGAAGATTAAACAAATCTTTTTCCTGTTTAAGCACCAATTTTACATGGCCAACCCAAAGACTGCCACTGAGTTTCTATTATTTGGGATACAGCTTTGTGGAGGTTGATTCACAAGAATCTTTTACCTAAAAGCTTACGCTACTGAAGTTATTGTACATCTGAGGAGAAAGCAGATATCTGATGTTCCCATCAGAAAATGATAGCTAAATTAAAACTTTCAAATCAATGTGCTGTATAAGCCATTGTTTAATAAGGCCCACTGCACCTGTTGGACAATTAGCATTACTCCTGTATTATTAATGCAGAACATCATATAATGGCTTATAACCTGTAATAACTGGTTGAAGTGTTGGATTAAACTTCTCTGAATAACCTCTGTTTACTTTAGGGCTTCAAAATACGTGGCCACTAATAATATTGCAAAGTGTTATTAAAATTTATGGTGGACTAAACTAGTATCTTCTTTGAATTATATGAAATTATTGACCTACTAATTCGTGTACCCAGAGTACAGCAAGAGGTGGGTTTGGACCCTAATAACTTTAAAGAGGCTTAAAGGTGTAATACTTGACCAGATTTCTCTGATAATACAGGACTTGATATTCCATTTGCCTGCACTTGAATGATTAACAGCATTTAAAAACAGTGAAGTTGACATTATTTGGATGCTTTCTGAGTTTTTAAAGTACATTTAATTACAACATACAGATCTTCTGTGAAGACAGTGACCTTTGGCTTGTAGATGAGGAGGTGATTGCTTGACTGGTTCACTGCAATACCTTTTACATAGTGCGGTTACCTCTAGACTACCGAGTTCTGGTTTAAATAACACTATGGCAGAGGCAATTCAAGCAGAAACAGACACCAAGAAGTTACAGCAGCTAATTTATGAGGAAATAACAAAAGCAAGTGTATTTGCATTTATAGCTCACTAAACAATTAATTAGAGCCTGGTTCTTTACTATTTAATACAAGAAAACTCACGCTAAAGTTTTGCTCAAGTAAGGATAGACAGTCCAATATTAAAATAACAAACACTTAATCTGAGAGTTGTGCAGACCAAGGAGGGAAAGGGATAATGCAGAGAGAAACAAAAATTCAATAATTAGCAATGTACCAAATTAAACAAAGAAAACATAAGGGGAAATAAACCCTATTTCAGAACATAGTTACTCATTCACCTGTGGAATAATTAGTAAAATGAATGATGTGTCTATTGCAACCTGGAAAATTTAAAGCTAACATATGGTCCAAAGGGATCAGTTATGTATAGCTAGAGAGATTAACTGACAAAACAGGTCCTTCTCTATTTCAAATCCAGCAATCCATCGTATCACTCAAATGCAGCATGGTTAGTAGGACTTCCTGCAGGGCACAACAATATCCGATGAATTTTCATGCAATTCCCTGAAACTACACAACAGAGAAGATTGTCTAAATAAACACCTTATTAACCTACCTAACCTACATACTAAGGCAGGAGGTGTAGACTAGTGTCGCCAGAAAAGATGCAGGTCTCATCACTGCTGCCTCCTTATGAATATCGGAGCACATCACCAACAAAGGAAAATACACCTTGAACATATTTTCCATTTTGCCTGAGCCTTATATCGCGATATCCCTGCTGAGCATGAATGGCAAATTTTAAATGTCATTCAGGACCCATTGAACACTGCTAGTATTTGCATTCCTTAAAAAGTAGAAAAACATTAACCTTTTGTTTTATTGAATTAAAATGCCATGGAAATGCTGATGTAGTCTTCAGAGACTGAAATACTTTTACAAAGAAGAATAGCTGTCATTTATTAGACACAAAGAACAATTACTTGATAGGATGCTTTCTGACAAAAAGCAGATTGGTATTCTCATCATAGAAAAGGCATTGTAAAAAAACCCAGCACAGACCTCTGAGACTTGAATAATTTAAAGCTGCATTTGGTGCAATTTGAATTTTTCTTTAGGGAGGCAAAGTTAAATACCTTTAATTTGTTCTAATTATTTCAAATTTGCAAGTTAATTATGGCTGATCATTAAATAACAAAAAGGACTATCGTCTCCATAGAGTTTTACCTCCTACCCTCTGCATTACTTAAGCTAGATTTTAGTATGCATGAATTAACTTTCTAAATAATCACACGGTTTGACTAAATGGCTCAGTAAAATGAGCTCTGATCCTCAGAATGAGCATTAATGGACATTAGAAAGGCTATTGGGACCCATGTTACTTACATTATAAGTATTTTTAATGGGGTCTTATTTACTAATCTTTATGTACTGTTCAAGTTAGCGCACCATATAGATACATTATTCTGCTTTAATAGAGGAAAGTCAGTTCTTCAAGATACTAAAACAAATGTCCATTTAGAGCCAACTAAATTCATTTTTAAATTAATGCAGGAAAACTCTGATAGAATTTAACTTGTTTTAGCTGCTCACCCTGATGAATCAATCCAACATAATGGCAGCCTTGGTCTGCAAATGGAGTTTTACAGATGCATTGAATCACTAAGCAAGTCAAGACTCTTGCCACAGACTAGCATTTACTATCAGCATGTGTACACCCATGAGGTTTCATCTCTTCTTTGCTCCATACCTAGTGCTCATCTGATGGGTTCCCAGTCATCGATCCCAAATTTGTATGCTTACCTTTCACTGAACTCTGATCTTTCCATGCATTTTTCAGTGCAGATCAGTGGCATCCGGAGAACATGACTACATTATAACTAGTCAGAAACCCAAAATGTGAGGCAATTCATGCCTCCAGTATATATGTTCAACAGATGGCTGCCTTAATGGTATCCTAGTATCCTACTGCACCCTGTTGAGGCAAGGGCTTGTGAGTTTAACCATTATCAAACTAACAGATTGCCATTGTAGGTTAGCTCCAAAAGCAAACATGTTGGAATGTTATTTTCCTGTTCTGCAATTTCTGTTTTAAAAATAAAATAATTAACAGTTCATGTGTGCAATCTGCTGCAATTATATCAGGCCAAGAATGCATAACGCTTAATGATGCAAAACTGGTGATAAGTAGACAACCCAAGCAATACGTTTTTGTAGTTGGAAACTGTATTGCCATTTCAGATGCAGTTTGACAAACAGGCTGAAAATTGCTTCCTCCCCGCCACTTTGGCTGGAAGAGTTTTCAGCCAGATCAGCTTTCAGAGTCAGCTTGGTATAAAGCAGCAGTATCGCAAGTGCTAGGACAAAGAAGATGATCTCAATATATCACAGGATCTTCTTTTCAGCAGGGGTTTGAATTTAGATCAGTTTAAATCAAGCTATCAAACCACACTTTTGAAAACCACCAGTTCCAAAGTGGGACTGTTTGGGAAGCTGTCTGTCTGTATGGCAAATAAAAAAAATATTCACAGGGAGAAAAGAAGGACTGTAGACTTTGGATGAGGGGATCTAAGAAACAACAGCAGTCTCCCAAACAACCACAACTTTTTCAGTCCTCTCAAGTGTACTGTGTTACTCTCAGTAAGTCTCTACTTCCAGAGTAGTAGTGCCAAGTGCCACAGATTTTTCAAGTGTTTTTTTTCTAACAATGTGTCAGGTAGGGCAGTGTGATTACCCTAATCCACAAGGCAAAGAAGATGAGAAACTGATGCAGTAAAGAAGCTGGGCCCCTGGACAGCAAACAGGTCAGCAGAGGTAGAAGAGAACTGGAACCAACTCCCAAATACTCAACTCACTGCAAAAAGGAGGTGCCTGAAATTAGTGCATACACCATATGTGTCTGCTTAGAGGTAATCATGAGGAAAACCCTGACAACAGAGATAGCACTTATGACCCTCCTTAGCAACATGGAGT